GGAAATAATGATCGGTGTACTTGTTTAAACTTGGTGTATATGCGACAGTGTACTGCTAGTGTACATGTTTTTCGGTGTATGTGTAACTACACCAACCAACTGAGCTATGGCGGCTTGAATACTACTGCGGAACTACCAAATTTGAATCTATAACCAAACAGTGCTAATGAGCAATTACTTCCATAGCTCGCTCTCGGGGTATGATCAACGAAATCGGTCGTTCCTTCTTAGTAGGTCGAACATCTAACTTGTTTCCGCATACCATTTTGAGAGCAGACTTACGAATAGGCTTTATGAAAAACAAATATGACAGATTGGTCATGAACAAATGGTAATGTGTGAAGCCATTTATTACCACCTTCAGACCTTAAAAATGGGTACAGGTCTTCTCATACATATATGGCTTACTCTGCCGATCCTCCGGAACAAGGAGCATGTTGACGAATCCCAATATAGTCGAATTGAAAACGGGAATTGATAGCTGAAAACACGACACGGACGTATAATAATGAAAGAAGTGTATACCATAATTATAAACGCTTTAACAAAAACTAATCTATTCTTCCTGGTATGTTCAGAGAGAACAGGTCCGAACTTGATTGAGTAAATTATGTGAGATATGACACAGACTGCAATAGCTATAACACCCGTTCCTAATAAGAGTGTGTTAACTGCATCTTTTCGGATGTAGCCGTAGTCACTATGGACAACCTGAAGTAATCGTAATGAGTCACATTACAATCAGGAGATGTACTGGCTCTAAAGGATTATGCATTTGATCATTAATTGATACGATTGCTGCGATCACATATGAAGCAATGAGCAATGTTCGCTTTGCACTCGTGCCCAAATAGAGTCTGGACGTGGGAGGAATGAAATGATGGTAGAAGCCAGCAGTGAAAACACAATACGACATACTTATCACAAAATAACAGATTCTTTGACATATCTGAAATGTAAATATCAATTAGCATTCAAGCTACCTAACTACTGTCTGAGTTAAAAGATTCATTGAGAAAACTAAAGTGAAGATGCCCATACAGTAAGTCACACCATCCACATATATTTGATTGATGAGTATGGTATAGCTGACCAACGTGTAAGCAGAAGATATCTGTGAAACACTAATCAGTAATTATGAAATTAAAGAGAACATACCTGTAGATTGAGCAGAACTTTGTAAAAACTGCTCATTTCTCTACTTTCACCTCGCATAGTTGCCACGATAACAAAAATGTTGATGAATGTTCCGAGAACTCCTACTACTGTCAGAGAGAACCAAGGATAATAGAAAGACTCAAAAACGAGAGCGTCGTGTGAGTTCAGAGCCATACTAACAATGAAATGAGTTTTCATACAAGGGGAAACGTGTGTATGAGTCAGAAGAAAAAAATATTTGATAAATATGAGTATGTTAGTTGTCGAGTGAATTCATATTAGTCTTGCAAAAGTTGTAGTGAGTTACTTACTTTTTAGAAGCGTCGATCTCATTCATTATTCCACTATCAGCAGGCATTATGCCGATAAATTCACTACTCTCTGATCTCGATACAAGTAAATGGATATGGATAATCACTGAAAATAAATCTTTTATAACAACTAAGTATAGAGAAAGTGACTTGCTTTCTGTATCTGCATTGTTTTCACAATAACAACTTCAGCCGTTGCTACATTGGTTATGCCAAGAAATCTTGAGAGCATTATTCCAGCCGTTTTCTTTGACACTAACTTCGACAGTTGGGTTTGTCTTTCATTTCAACCGTTCTGTGTGTCTATCATCCTATTTCATTGACTTCATAGATACGTATACTTTGCTCGAACACCTCAGTCCATGTTGGTATAACTGTTAAACTTCCGTCTTGATAGAACTCTATGATTCCTTCTTGATTGTCCAATTGCTGTATTATGTATGACTACCAGTATTTTATTATGAAGAATCAATCAGACCACTTCACTAATTCAAGCTATATTATCATATATTTTTCACGTAACTTTGACGTGAAAACATATCTCATTATGAATTAAAAGGGAATGAATAGCCAGTAGACCATTGGTTGGAGTCTGCCTGCTGAAAAATTGAACACTACAACAACACAAAGACACAAAACAGCAAAACTTCGACGAGGCTGTAACTTGTCTTTGATGATTACCGAAAGCTCTTTTAAAATAAAAAAGAACTCAAATCAATAATGAATGAGCTTCAACATAACTATAACTTTCTAATAACACATCTGACTCGGCTTCTATATTTTGAATGTTTTCGTGTTACGGTTGTTCGAAAATTGCAGACGCAAACTTGCGTATTAGTCATCATTTTGAATTTCTCTCAACGCCTTCACATTCCCTCGTATACAATTCCTCACTATGATCGTTTTATAATAGTTTTTCGTATATTATCTAATAATTTTAATCAAATCATTCAGAATGTCTCTTTTGGAATTAGCTCAACGTCAAACTGACCTTCTGGTTCAGGATGAAATCAAGAAGGATGTAGACAACGTTGGCGGTTTGGCTGAAATCAAGGATCTCGAAGCACCCAGAAAGGTATGGATAATTTTTATTTTTCCACTGTTCAAATCTTACAGTCTATCAATTATGCTCCTCACGAATTGTTAGCCGAAGGATCCCGCTTACACACTAGCATCGCTGATGTCATTCATCATTCCCGTCTTCTCCATGGAGATGGACAAGCTGAGCAACTTCTGATGTGAGTGCCTGACTTGTAATTTATATTTTTTTTCGTCTTTAGTGAGCTTAATTCTGCTGCCCAAATCAACCGTGGACCCGACGGAGTTTTCGAATCTTCCAGACTTCATTGGGACATGCTCTTAGGACGGGATAGCGAAATGCATCCATCCGATTATTTGAACTTCGATGCTAAAATGAAGTTATAAACAATAAACACCGGTGTCAACATGTAATTGAATAAATTATTTCATTGTAACATGTTGTGATGAAGCATACAAAGGTTATTAACCAAAATATATGATGAAGATTAACAGATGACAGAGACATAACCATATTTGTAGAAAATGAGTGGTAGATTACCTACTGGGCCACAATCTTCGTCCACAACAGGTTTATCGTTTTAATGAAACTAAAAGAAATGGAGATGTATCGTTTCAGCCGGACCTTTGTATATGTCATATAAGAGCAGCACATGGCCACCTAACTATATATGCCCGGATAACGCTCTGGAGTACTTCTGTAACACAGCGAACTGTTTCTATGATGCTTCATCCTGTAATCAACAACTTCGGATGCAGAATATCTCACGTCCACTCGACGAATGTTTAGCGTATGTGCATAGAAAACTGTTCTGTACGTCATTATATTATTTTGAAGGGATATGATTGGTATTCAGTATGTACTATGGAGTGCTCAGCCACCTCTGTATATTATTTGTAAGCACCGACGAAACTCTCCTCAAAATGGTAAGAATCTTCATATCCTACACATGATTCCTTACATGATAACTTCAGTAACACCACTGGCCTATTATTATATTATTAATGGTGTTATCTCTCTCTGTCCTGATCTCTTAAGCTTTGTCCAAACACGATTGTTAGGATCGATCGATCCTCTCAAACGAGCTTTCGATGAAGTCATCCAATATTCCAAGTACGTTAAGCTCTTTGAAGTTTTGTTCATCCCTTTTCAAGATATAATGTCGCGAAAGGTTACTATTGGGAGTTCAAAAACAAAGTGGCCGAATCTGAAGAAAAGGTATGGTTCATCATTCTCGTTTGTTTATTGTTATCGGTTTGTTAGGAAGAAGAGAAAGCTCTTCAAGCTCGAAGTAGTCATTTCCAACAAACTCGCACTTCGATGCTCATGAAGAATTTGTTAGAGATGTTCCCTCACATTGATGCTCCTGATGTTAGTTCCCTACGCCATCTTTATCTCTATTCTTCTTTGTTATAGCCTGCTACCGAGGTGAAGCAAGAAGCAGAAGACGAAGCCATGGACACTAGCGCCCCTGGAGCGAATGCTAGTTCAGCGTCAGCAACTGCGACAACTACAAATGTGACAACGACAACTTCAAAGAGCACAGCTCCTTCTGAAGCTACATCGAAAGGGTCCAGTGCAGTGAGCAGTGGAGGTGTGGAAGCGAAGTCATCAAGCTCCGACCCGCCTGCAAAAAAGGCTAAGTAACCAAACTTGTAAATAAAGGTTGCAACATAAGTTGAGTCATCTTAATATATACTGTTATCCTGGATTAAGTTGTAAGCGATATGAATGAATTGTTGTACTGAAGCTTGTTGCCTATTTATTGAATTGAAGAATGTTAGTGAGATATATTTTTTATAGGGAAGCTTAGGAAAGGGACGCTGCTTCTCTCTCTCTTATCGAGGCGCCTTGATGGTTTGGTCCTATCAATACTGATAATGGGGGAAAGCCTACCCAGTAAGTGTACAATAAAATTTCGTTTTGCATCTTCAAGATTTCCTAAACTGAACATTGTCGTCGTTTTTTACTCTCTAACGTCCTTAGTACTACGTAAACCCTGAGTGAGAAAGTATTTTCGGATGTGGAGTATTTCTAGCTGTATTTTGTTATTATTTTTTCTTAAATACTCTGGCTCTTCTTTATATTCAATTGATAGACACTAACTGCATCATTATAACTTCGGAGACAAAGAACACTAATGATTTTGCGATCGAGGTCTGACAAGCCAACAACTAGCAACGACAATATTTCACCTTGTGAAAGCAACGGCGATAACGTTGGATCCCTTACAGTTGCATACAATACACGGCAATTAGAAGGGAAGGATGGTTCCTGGATTTCAATCAGCAACCTTCCAGCTTCCACTAGCAGCAGTAACAATGGCAGTAGTAGTTGTAGCAGCAGTAACATCACAACATGGAGGAGGGGGCGGAGCCTCGAGTTGACGGACCGCCAACTAGATACTCGGCCACAATCTGCCAGCACGATGGTCAGCACCACTACGACAACGACGATGATGTATTCTTTCCTTATGGACTTGTCTGATCTTGTACTGTATAAATTCTGTACTCAGCGATCTGCTCAAGCATACAATGCTAGTCCTGCGGAGCATCATTCAAGTTATCTGAGCGACCGACGACGGCGCAGCGACAACGACGACCACGACCACGACCACAATGTGTCTGTGGACAGACGACAACGACAGTGTGCAGCTGATCACCACGACGACGACTCATACGACTACCCGACAGGCTTCTCTACAGATTGCAGTAGAAAGCGTAAGAATGGACGACAGTCCGCTCGCAAAAGCTACACCTCTAACAGCAGTCTCAATATCTGTAGAAAAGCCAAACGATCGATTAATTTTGTCTTAGTTTTGCTTTCATTGATAATGGCGAGTAGTGCAGCACCTCCAAATCAACGACGAGAAGATTATGCATCTTCGCATCCACAACACCTTCTGCATCAAACCCACGGCACCATCCCATCATCTGACTCCGAGCCTTTATCCGTCCGAGATGGCTTCATTCCCTTTTCCATAGGTGAGACTCGAATCTATTATTTTCAAACATCCTATTTCGTTCTATTCACAATAACTTTGTTATTATAAATTGTGTCTTATCAAACATTTGCGCTCCTCAGCATCTTTTGTAGGACACAGAGCAAATTGTTTTTTAACATCGTCATGTGTGTTATTGATTGTAATCAAAGAAAAATCAACTACAAGACATATTTTTTGTTAAACCATCTTCTCATATTTCAGGAAACTCCAGCATAGCCAAGGAGCAATCACGAAACACATTTTATAATCTAATTGGACATGATGTTGAAGCTAATCCACCCATTATCATAGCGGATAAGCCGAAGAAGAAGAATCGAAAGCCTGGTAAGACAATATGCATTTTCATTCATTCAATGTACTTTTCATCACTCATTCTCTCTCTCTGATCTATCATTTTTTTGATCTTTGTTTATATTTCTCGTTTGTACATTCATCTTCTATATTCGTTGTGTGGACTTTGATATGTGATTCTTCTTATTGAACTGACCTGCCTCGGCCAACCCACTCATTCTAAGCCTATTTAGCTGTTGAACTTTGTTCCCTTCGCCCAATGTCGAGCCAACCTTTTTGCATATTTTCCGTCTCTCTTGTATCATTCCATGATTATCAACGACTAGAAACATTAGCCAAATGATTAGATTGAAGTCGTTTTCAAATATTTTTGAAGAACAGTTCTCAGGACTCTCTCTCTCTTCACCCTCCCCCTTTGCTCTCTCCCATCCTCAATCTCACCCTCTCCCTCTTTCTGCGTTTTTTTGCAACCAAACACGCTGAACAAAGTTGCAAATTCTTATCGTCCGCCTTGTGACAATTGTTAAAAGTGTTCTTCTACTTTCTAACTTTTCTTGTGAATTCAGTGAACAAACCAGAATTGGCTTGGAACTTCAAGCTGACGCTTGATTACGCATGCCGTCCATACTTTCCGAGTTCAAATGACATCATAGCTATTTATAGATGAGCATATTCACATGGGAATATCGTTCAATTGTAAGAATCAGGACTTCTGCTCTTGTATTTTCCTATTTTATAGCCTACAGTGATGGTTTGCTGTAAAAACGGCCAAACTCTTCATATCAATGAAGTTAGCTGATAAGTCTTAATTCTCTAATACTTCCTGGTTTCAATTACAAAGGCTTTAAGCTTGAACATATCTTTAACTGTCCACTCCCACTCCTCCTTTCAGTCATTTTTTCTTTTTTCTTGTCATTTTGACATCATGCCGTTTTCCATTCTTGTGTCTGATCAGCATCAGAGACACGAGCAAACTACAACATGATTGCCAGCTATTCACATATTGAGCTGTTCTCTTGTTCGCGCTCATCAAAGTTGTAACTCTTAATGACTCGGTCTGAGCTGCAAGTTAGTTTATCAGATAATTTTGAAATTGAAAAGCTGTTTGAAATATCAACGACAGCAAACATAGTCCGCGATAAATGGAATAAAAGGTTTTGCCGTGTTCTTCTCTCCGATTTTCTAATTCTCTTGTTCCATATTTTCTTTTCCATTTTCTGGTTCCTTCCATTAGGTTTCCTGATTATCATGTAATCAGTTGCTGATTTTTACTGTTACTTAGGGACTTGATTACGTTTCTTATGAGATCGTTGGCTCATTCTCTCTCTCTCACCTTGAGTTCTTCACCTCCTTCTCTATCAACCTTCTCGAGTCTCTCTCTATCTCATTCTCGAGCCACAAGTTTCTTGATGTTTTTTATTCCCAAAAGTGCATTTTGCAATGCTCTTTGTTATTCAGTAGTGTAATAAGTGGAATTTTTGTAAAAGTGCGCTGTTGTCTGAAAGTTTCAAAGCTCTGATTCGTGAACGTCGCCATCCCCATAATACATCAATACTCCCACATCTCAAGCTTGAGACGACAGGAATGCTCAGACTGAGCTGCCTGAACATGGACAAACAGGTTCAGCGTAGTTTGTGACTCTCTTGCTTTTCTTTTTCTTTTTTTTTGCTCTCATTGAGTGAAATTAGAAGATATATTAATCTCTCCCAATGATTTCTAGGAATTTGACGTTTGACTCAAGTTTTGAAATAGCCGTGAAGGATGAATCGATTAAAAGATGAAGAAGTGGCAGAATGACTGACGGTCGTGTCGTTCAACCACCCCCTGACTCATAGGTGTGGCTATGATATGACGATCAGAGCAGAGAAAAGCTTGCAGCAGGCCTTTCTTCAGCATCACTTTTCCTTCTTGTTCCTATCGAAACTGAAGAAGAATAAGAAGAAGCATCATTTGCAAGAGCATGTGTCTCAGATTTAGATGGATAAACTTTTCCAAGCTAGGGGTCCTATGAAAGATTAAATGAACACGTTGAGTTTTGAGAAAAGAAAAATTGGCAGAACAGCAACTTGGTTTTAAGCTGAAGTTGGCTTCAATGTCTAACAAGCCAGAGGCAACCTACCTCTCAAAGATAGACATTAGGGTGATTGGGAGACTCAGAAGCATATCAAGTTTCGTACGTCCCTCCCTCACCGGAAACCTACCCATTCTCATAATTTCGTTTTCAAGTTATTGTTGGTGAAAGGTTTTCTTCTCTCAAATATTGTAGCTCTGTCTCCGACCAATATCTATTTTTGTCGGGACACACCGAAGAAAAAAAAGGTGAACATCCTTCAGTTTTTTGCTTCTGCCATCAGGGTCAGGTGGTTGAAGCTTTTTTGAGAATCACAGGCGATTAATTAGAAATTGGTGTTGTGTGAATCATTTGTCACATCAGCTTCATATAATTTATCCGATGATCAGAATTGCGAAACACCCTCTGATTCTTCGGGATTCACTTCACTTCTTATAAGATCATAAAGCTGTTCTCTCATCCTCAACTGAGGATAGGACAGCTCTGATGAGACTGGAATGCCCTGACGCACAAGCTGTCATCGGCAATTTGACTTTCTAACAATCGATCATCACACATCATTGCCACTTTTAATAGTTTTTCTTCCCACAGCTTACCGACAAAATTCAGAGCTTCCGGAAGTGCTTGAGATAGTATGCATGGCTGTCTAATGACTCTGTTTTCGAAACACACAAAAGCACGTGTAGATAAAAAGATTTTAGAAGGCGATGTGAACAGTCTTATCCGTCATGTGAAATTTACAGCGATAAAACAATCGCTAAAAGACAGAAGACGAATTCGGAAGAAAGGAAAATTAGAAAGCGAAAGGGTGTAATAATTCGAGTGAAAATCTTTTCTAACTGAGCAAAAGCTGATAATCGTCTATTAATTATAGATAATCAAGTAAGAGAAGTCATTTGCGTATGTACAAGCTGCCCTACGATGTTTTGTTTTAGCAAAAAAAAAAGGTCAAGAATGAGCAAATAATGATTGATAACGAGTAGCAAAGTTAAATTTCGCTTTGATTATCACAATTGAATGATGTGTACAGACTTCTGTAGACCTCTGAGAATTTTGTAATGCTTCACATTCCTCAGTATAATATCAGTTCCATTACCCTGTCTTGAACACTTACATACACAACACTGATATGCTCACAAATATGCTAATGAGCTATACGTGAGCGCGCCTACGTAGAACATTCAAATCTGTTCAACTAGCGTTTACTCATTTTGAATTAATCCTTTGCTATCTACCGGTTGCATTCCATTCTGATCATTCCATTCTTGTTTCAAACTATATTGTTTTCAGGAAGACGGAAACCTGCGCTTTCGGGAAGGACTCAAGCTTTACAAATTCTACTTGATGAACCTACGGAACAACGATGTGAAGGTCAGAAGTTCAAACAGCGAGTTCGTGTTGCAGGATGCTTAACCAAAACAATCATCAACAGGTATTTATATTATGACAATACCTCTTATTATACTTTGCATCTTAGATTCTGCTTCGGAACATGTGCGTCCTATTTCATTCCGCGAATGAGTACCAATAAACTGAAAGCGTTTTTTAAATCATGTTCAACTTGTGGTCCCAAAGAGTACGACTCTGTGAACGTGACCCTTGATTGTCCTGGCCAGGATCCGCCTCAAATAACTCAGTCTATAATAAAGGTAGGCGGATAGCCGGTTTAACATGTTCATCATACTATTTAAGGTTAAAAAATGCGCTTGTATCAACGTCGACCTCAATTCGTAGTTCCGTTGTGATTGAGGATGTGATCCTTGTTCTCAGAACATCAGTAGCTTCTGTGGCAGTGCCAGCAAGCTTTTGCAAATACTTGCAGCTCATACTTTGCATGTCTTCTTGAGATGTTCCTCGAAGAAGCTCGGCATACTGAATGGACCAACCTCTGACTGAACGAGAACAGTGCTGAACGACGTAAAGTTCAACAATTTGAAGCATTGTTGCTGCCCTAGGCGCATCATTTTTTCCATCTAAACTTCCGACATCAGATTTCCTAATGTGGACGGGTACATGCATTCACAAATTTATCAAACGATCACACACATACGCTGAACACTCTCGTCATTATACAATTTCATTCAACAGGGTTCAAAGCATGACGGTGCTATACTTTTCTGGCTTTAACGTATATTGTCTTATCCATCCCGAACTTAGCTTAGTTCCTTATTAATCACTTTCATTGATAACTCAACCATGTTAGGTCACCTCCTCCCCCTCAATACTTCCCTCGTTCTTCCTATTCATTTGACTTTCGCAAGAAACTGTTAAAGTTGAAAAGTTGTTTTTTTCATTTCTAAGCTATCACCTATCCGATCTCATAGCCAAATCAGCGACCATTATTCTTCCACGTGCTCTCACTTGTGAAGACAAAAATTCTCATGAGTTGTCCAGAAAAGGTCTGATGGAAGACTGTCAGGGTGCCTGCATCATCTGAAAGAACTTCCATTTTTCTTTCTTCTGGAGATTCGGTTCTCCATTGCTATTTTCCTCATTTACTCTCTCTCTCTCTTTTCTCTCTCTCTCTCTCCTCACCCGTTTTTCTTTAATCCTCTCTACAAGCCGCATAGATTACATAATTATATATATCAATATTTATCATGTTTCTTAGAAACTTAACTACTCTAGCATGTGAAAGATTTATATGTTTATATATACATAACGATTTCATACATATGCATGTTTCGCAGCTTTCTTTCATTAGATGTTCTTATTAAGCTGGATAACATAATCTTATTAAGCTATACGAGGTCTTTAGAAGTGCAAAATATAATAAATAGTTCATAGATATAGCTTTCCATTCACACTGAAATAGACGCAGAGAGCGGTTGCATTCCATACCCAATTGTTCATCATTGAGTGATCAATCATAACAAGTCTACGACAGAGTCTAACACGGAGTTCAATATGATAAGTGGTTTATTCAATGTTTAACTCTTGGGCTGAACATGTTATGGTTAACAGTTGTTCTGTTATACTGTGTTGTTGATGTTCCATGATCATAGCTCGCAGCATGCTTACCTTACCAAACACTTTTTGATTGCCTAGCTCTGACGTGCAACATCTTAACATTGGGCGGAGAGAGTAGGAGTAAACATCAGAATGCTAAACGAACTGGTCACTTCCTTCTCAGGAAGTTGCAATTTCAACTTATTAGTTCTTCTGTGTATAATCGAGTTACGATTTGTGGTCTCTTTCTGGTTTCTGAAATGTCCACGAAGGTTTCGGAAAGTACATATTTCGAAAGCTGATGAGTTTATCTCTTTGTGAAAAGAGTTCCAGGAATAGTTATTTAAATGGCAAAATTAACATGATCGCGAAGCGAGAGAACAAGGAAGAGAATACGATGCAGATAGGATGGATGAATTCTCTTAACTTTTTTTTTTGCTCAAACAAGAGAACATGTTGAAGTTAGGAAACAAAATTTAATTCTAGGGACGGGAGATTCTTACGTCATACAATGTATAAGCTTCCGTCTTCACCAAATTAAGAGATCATTTCGAAACTTCGAGTAGAACAATACTGAAGAGGGACGACATGCAACTTCCGATGTTGACGACACAGGCTGAGTGATAGAACTGTTCTGTACTCGTCTGTTATGAATGAAAGACAGGGAGGACAAGGAAAATATTTGAAAGTTCATTAACTGATGTTAATTACATTTAATTACAACCAATAATATCACATAGGGTACTCTTAGAATCACAATTGTTGAGAAGCCGAAATAAGTACAAATGAAAACGAAATAGGGTTTAGTTATGTTTCACAAATAGTTTGATTGATATGATTTTCACACAACGTTTCGGGAATTCACAAAACCAACGAAAAATTCAATAAAAACTCTGTCAGAATACTCTCTGGATAAGATACACACACACACAACTGATAGTAGCGCGATTGGGAACTTGCGAATCTAGCAGAACAAACTTTCCTTGTAAAACGATATGCAGACTAGAAAGGTAAAGTGAAAGCTACCGGATAATGAAAGGTAATCGCGAAAAAATTGAAACCCCCCATAAAAAAAAACAAATACGACAACCTGTCGAATGACACCTTGATCTAGTTCAGCTCATGATTATCTTTAAACCCAAAGTTACTAATGGAACCACACTGAAGTTCATACACTATATCCCATTACCGGTTCTGCTGTTGCCTATTGGGAACATGATCATGCTTGCTCTGAGGTAATCTATGTCAGGAAGTTGATCATGCAAAGCCAGAGCATCCAATGACAGTTCGGTAGGAGCTCGATATTTTTTCTGTTGAGCAGCGGCAGAAGACATTATTGCATCTAACATTGACCTGTAAAGAGACACTAGCATGACGGTGGAGAAAACGAACAACTTACGGTTGGCTGTTTGTTTTCGGAATACTCTTTTCCGTATTGGCTATTCCTAAATCGGCAAGATCCTTTTGTAAAGTACTAACAGCATATCCTGCTCCCGCAGAATTAGCAGACAAGAAATCCACATCTAATAAAGCAGAGCTTTGATCTGAAGCGATATGATGATGACTAGGCGGAAGAACAGATTACTCACTTGCTCCTTTTAATGGATTGGTTAGGCCAGACTTGGCCCAATCGAAATCGGCAGGAGGTACTAGTAACGAATCGAAAGTGCTTGAAGCGAGATCCTGCTTTTCTAAAATGGTTATATTCTATGAAAATCGTCTTTGCAATCTACTACTCACGTTTATCATCAGAAAGAATAGTTGGTGTGCATGCTGAGGTAATTTTAACAGAGGAGTCACCGGGAGCTATCGTAACAGTTCGCTTTCTACAATAGATTGCTGAATACATAGAATATTCAAAAGACTTACATAGGTCCGTTCGAGGCAGGAGTGGGCATGAGAACACCTCCCACAGATAGTGGAGGCAGAGATCCCTTTCCGATTGCTTCGGGATCAATATTCAACTCTCTCAGAAAATTTTTATTCGTCACAGCAGTTTTCCATTGATACTTCAAAGCATGTGCTTCTTCTACTACTCGCAACGTCTTCCATAACAGAGCGCTACTATAAATAGATATGTACTGATTAGGAAAACAAGGCTACAAACCTGAGAAGAATATGATCAGCATCTAGATCAGTGGGGTCTTCTCGATCAAAAATTTCATGTAAGTGTAAAGCCTGTAAGAATCAGATAAATTCACAAAACAGAAATATTCAACAAACCTCATCTTCGCCCAACTCCAAATCTTCTTCATAATCCCAAAGATCATCAGAACTTAATAACTCTTCCAACACGGGTAGATCCTGAATTAGATATGTCTAGAAGAATTTCACGGGTTGATTTACCTCCACAAAAAATTCGTTTTCTGCTGGGACATTATTAACTTCAGCACCGGCTGAAAAATCCGCAGCCCAGTTATCAGATTCGCCAGCAAAACCTAAAAGAGTTTTGAAAAATGAAGTGGTTGTTAGTGTGGTACAAACCATCAGGAGCGTCAGAAGGTGCTTCTCCGAAAGCTCCCCAATCCTCTTCATCCACGCTAGGTTGTGGGACCTATAAAGTAACATTGAATATGGTAAGGAAGCCTTACGAACCTGGCTCGTTGAAGGAGCGCTATCGAAATCTCCCCAATCATCGTCTTCTATTACTTTTTTCTCTGTTTTCAACTCAGTAGGTGATGAACTACTTGTCTGAGACAAATTATTGAGTAACAAATGTTCAGAAACAAAAACCCATGATACCTGAGACGTTTCTATGACAGGAGCAGTATCGAAGTCTCCGAACTCATCCTCAGATTCGTGTGGATCATCATCAACGCTTGGAGGATTCTAAGAAAACAATGTTACACTGATACTTTAAAATAACTTACTGGAGAACGTGATATCTCGTTGACTTCTTCGTGAATGGAACTTTCAGGACTATCTAAAGCAACACCGTCAAACTCAGTTATGTATGAGAGGCTAACCTAAAGCTTCATTGAATTCTTGTGATATGATGATTGGAGTAGACACTTCGTGATTCTTTTTTATGGCACAATTTGTTAACCCAGGAATTCCGTTTTCTTTGCCGTAATCATCTCCTTCAGAACTGGGCGTTTCCGTTGGGACACGTGTCGCCTAAAAAACTATCGATGTGCAACAACAAAACATGTAGAAGTGAAGTATATTTCACAAGAATATTACTAACAGATACGATGGAATGGTCTTTCGAGTTGAAATACAAGATAACGAAAAATAGAAAGTAGAAATAGACTGTAACATACCTGTATATGGTTATCGTCTTCATCTTCGAAAACACCGAATCTAACAGAGTCATGAGGATCCGGAGGTTCTTCCAAACTACCCGCACTGAACGGAGGCGGCGCCTCTACATCCATATAATCTTAAAAACATTAATGATTAACTTCATAGGATACATAAAGATATATATGAGAAGAGAACGTGATGCGCTTTCATACACAGAGAAGGATTGATAACAAAGGGAGCTGAATGAGAAACATATAATGGAAAAGCTTTCCCCCCTCAGCTAACATGATTTCATTGCTTTTCATACATTTTGATATTATTTGAATATAAAACGGGATATAGATTGCAAAATATATGCGGTGGGTGCAATTGATATGGGATAAACATATTTTGTATATTACTGAATTATTAAAATACTTTCATACTGAATTAGTTATTAAGAGAATAGGTAGTCAGGTGGGACAACGGTTGGCCTAACAACGGAAACCAAGAAGCTCCGCCCACTTGCAATAAGATCGCAGTTTTCATGCAAAGAGAGCGTACCCAATACATGTGTGCGTTGTCTCCATCAGAACAAGTATTATGCGACGAAGGCATGCACCTCTTCATGGCGTCTCTAATTTCATCGATTGATGGTAAATATTAAGATGAAAGCATTTAGCAAATAGGGAAAATAAGGATGTCTTCTGCACGTTATGGATATATGAGGGACAAGAAGAGAAGTATGTTCTTATCTATTCAGAGAGGACATAAGGAAGAAACTCCATTAATCAATCATTGGAAACAGCATGGAGACTATGTAAGAAAAAGACATTAGTAGTGGTTATTTCTCACTTCGGCCAATCGTTGTAGAACATCTCTGTTGTAATGGTCAAAGCAGTAAAAACCAACCGCTCATTAACAATTCATAAAGAACAATGATCATACATAGTGTAATCGACGTGAAACAGTTTCACGTGCACCCACGTGTTACGTGAAGCTTCTTTCATTTTGTTTTAACAGACGAGTCGAGCGGTTGTACACAACATTTGTTTGCATGTAAGTTGAGTAAGAAAAATTATAAACAGCTAATTGTTTGATTAGAAAGTCTGGAAGAAGATATGATGGGAAAAATAGTGAATTGCTGCAATTTGATTGAGTTTCACAGACATGCCTAGTTAATTATAGCTAATTTAGCCTATAAAAAGCTGTCTTGACTTAATTTGCCATAAAACTTTTCACTTTCAGTCTTATGAGGATGCTTTCGTTATCATGCCAAACTGACAGCTGAATATAAGAGAAATGCTTTTGAAGATACTGACATGAGAGGCTAAGAATAAATGCTTATGTTGGCTTTGAGAAGAAACTCGGGAAAGATTGAACTTTGTGAAAGCTTGCAAGCATTCCAACATCTCTATCTCTCATATTGTCTTTTAACTTTTCTAAGATATAGTTTTATAATCTATAGGGGATGACGACGTCATTCATGTCATTTAGAGAAGTGAGCGATGTTTTCATATACAACATACTGAAGGAATGAGTTCGGAATCTTATTATTCTTGATGTGAATTCGTTTTTAAATTAAAATGGAAAGCCGTAACCTTCTGAGAAATGGAAAACAAGCATTTGTAGCAGAGAGAATAGACACCAATCTTTTTCAAAAAGTTTTTCCTGCATTGTAAACGTCGTCTGCATCTCAAAATTAGTGTTGATCGGATTTTTCCTGGCTTGAGCATGTAATTGCGTCATTCAATCATGCTTGTCAAACACCCAACTATGGAAAAGCCTTAATAACACATCATTTTTCCTTCTTATAACTGTGATAATCTCATTACATTAGCTCCGGGACAATGCTCAAAAACTTCATCAAAATTAGTTTTGATTGGGTTTCGATAAAGACCAAACTTGGCTATGCTTATAGAACTTTCGGGGAGTCAACACACTGCAATAACTGAAGGATGCTGATGGCTTCAGACTGCTGGACTTGTTGCTCATAATTGCATGGAAGAAAATAGTTGAAATTTGGAATATTATTGTTTTTTGTTCTACTTTCAATGTGACAAAACAGGCAAACAAAAACAAATTCTATTGAAATCGGATAATTTCTGTATCGGCTAAGAGTTAGAATATACATGTTGGAGCAAGACGAGGCGAAGGGAATGAGTACATGGTTGTTGAGCAACTGAAACTTAAACTATGTTCTTTAGTGTACGATCAACGTGAGTTCATGAAGTTTATTTTTTTTCGTAAACATTATTAGCAAATCACAATTGTATCAGAGAAACCCGTGAAGATGAAAGACGAGGCTGTTAAGCATCCACTTATGGGTAAACGATGAATCTTTAAGAGGAACCCGTGACGTTTAAATTTGAAAAATGGGAGGATCATGAGTATGATGCTTGAAGGATTGCCGGCGCTTTCACATGTTGCTACGCCAAATGATGTATAAAGAAAATAAGGAATGAGAAGTACAATGATAAGGATGAAAGACAATGATTTGTCAAAATATTTGTAAGGACAATTACAAAACAAGATCTTGAGATAACCTATAGTGTTTGCTTAAAGGAGTTGCCCGTTGGGTGCGTGGTAAAACCGAATGACATCCGATAGTTATGGTTTCTTTACTTTTTATATATTGCCAATGACCGGATGTTGGATCACATGATGCTCTCCGGAGAACAGGAACCTTAAACAGAATCAAATATGAGTTTGATTTCAGTAAGAACAATTACCTCTTGAGTGATTGGTAGACAGAAGGCACCTGAAGCTCCACGACTTCTACGACACAAGCAGAAAGACTCAGAGAGGATCTTAGGTTCTCTGGTGTCATCGAAATTCACTCTGAAAATTAAAACATGAATAAGAATAAATATCTGCTAGGTTCAATGAATGCAACCGTCTCTTCACTGCCGAAACTATAAAATGGCTGAAGGGACGGCATGCCACGTCATAATTAGCATATGAGATTGGGAAACGGTGCTACAAACTGACATACCTTGTACTCCACGGGCATAAAGCTCGTTGCATAACTGTTGTTTCCCCTTCAGCTTTTGGAGATCTCTCACAAATTGGAGGTTCCTCAACTGGTGGATTCCAGTCATCTTCTACTTGATCCGGGGAAGCTCCTTCCATGGACTCACGCATCCATTCCGCAAGTTGTTCCTTCTGCAATGAACACGGTTGTTGAAATGACCATTAGAAATATTGATAAGCTGTTAAGTTCTTTGCCAACGAACACTGAACTGATTTGAAAATATCAACAGCAATCAATCAAAATAGGACACCGAAACGCTGAACAGTTTGCAACTTAGTCAACCTTGAAAAAGGTCTTTTTCTCCAAGTTATGTCCTTTTTCTCTTCTAATTAAACTAATTTTTTCCAAGAACGTTGACACGTATTTCTATCAAAAAGTACAGATGCACGCATTCATCAATTATTATTTCTCAACAGGTAGAGGAAACAAAAAAATGCTGAAACCATCTCAAAACTGGTGTGTAATACATGAAAGATGTTTCTATATGGTAGGACATATATGTTGATGAGAATAGTTAGTAAGAATATACTACAACCTACTACTACTCAAAAGCTTTCAAATATGATGGATGAAACAAATCCTTACCAAGTTTGGAGGATCCGAGCAGGAACGGTGTGGTCTGACATGAACGCTTCGGTGCTTCTTCGCCGATGTGCCAGTTAAGAGAATAATAAGAATACAGAGTTGTCTGATAGAAAACATTTAGATAATTTACGAGTTTAGATATGAAAATAAATAAATTTTGATTCGAAGCACAGGCCCGGAAGAGGACGACAGGCAGACGAGCGCTTAGCTGACGAAGGCCACAGATGAATGCAGGCAGACGCCGCTCGAATGACCCACTGACACGGCTGATGACGGACGTCGTCTCCTTACTAGGAGAGAAATGAAAATAGAAATGAAGCCGAAGATATCACAAATCTAAACTTCATTGTTGGTGTCGCAATCATGGAGAAGATGGGGTTTAGCATGGAAAAACATGAGAATAAGCATGGCGGCGAATGATATCGGCTATATCGGATAAGGTCAGGAGTGATGTTTTTGACATTTCTGATCATGATCTCGTGAAGTCTAGAATGTTTTAAATGGAGTAGAAATACTCATCTATTACGAAACCTCATGACATATCCACCTAAATCTCGCAGTACACGTGATATGGGATTTACAGGAATCCAAAACGTTTTATGGATATTGTTCCATACCGTCCTACTAAAATCTGTCTGGGAAAGCACTATAATCACGGTTGTAAAATCATTTTCATTGAGGTCATAAGCCTTCTATTCAACAAGATGTCAGAATGGAGAAACCACGATATAACCTAAAGTGCTAGGCAAACCCTTGTACTTTGCGGTAATGCGGTTATCAGTATAATACAACGAGAGAAGAGAGAATGAAGGAAAGACAGAGATAATTGAAAAAACGCAAATGATAGATGCTTGAAGTAATTATGTTTTTCTTAGATTTAACCCCCATATCTCACCTATCGTCGTACTGGTCGGTTCCAACCTATCAATGGTTACCCCCTGTACCGCAACCTTTCGCTTATCATAAGTCACCTTAAGCCCAAGTATGTTTCATTCGTTTGTTCAAACCCTTACAAATTCCTATCACTCTTGCCAAAATGAAATTAGGAAGCGCATTGACTTGTGTAATAGACTGGAAGAACCTATCGTGTTGTGATTACTCTACGAAATCCTGTCGAGAAAATTATCGGTAGTTTGAACTTAAAATGTTTTTTTTCTATCTCTCATCAGCAATCAAAGTTCCCCCGCTAATCCCATTCTTATGCAAAATGATGAATACGTGGATTGCGGATTGGAAACATATAACCCAAATGACCGTTGAAGACGCTGATACGACCTTGAATGTAATCAACATCAAAAATTGTTTAATCACTACTTTCAAACTTCACCGAACATGATCCGTTTTCAGGATTTTATCTGGGGTAAAAAGACGTTCAGACTATTTGATAAATTAGTAAGGAAATCGTTGCCATTCACTCTGGGTATAACGCCACACCTATCAGCCATCCCCTTTCTCTCACATTCTTCTAATAATCATTGTTCAAGATAATGACTTCTGTCGTTCAAAGTTCAAGAAAATACAAACGGACTCTTTGATGATTTCGAGCTACATAACACTATGGTAAACACACATAAAACAACAATTCCTTTTTCTGGGAAAGCAACCGTTCTCCACGTCAAATCAAACAATAATGAAACTTCTTGCTTATTCTAATTATACGTGGAACTACGTGAAGACGAACTGCTCCATAACTCTCAATCGAACCGCTTTTCTCCTTGTTCATGTCATTGGGAGACACAGCAGTAAATGATAACATCAACTATTTTCGGATTACGGTACATACGACGCCGAGTGTATTTTAAACCACACAAGGGGTTTTCATTTAGGTTTTAAAAGTTCAAATGTAATTTATGCATCTCAAAAAATTTTTTTTATTGTGAAATTATTTCATCAATAAGCTAATTCGTTACAGAAATGCCGAAAACCCCGAGAAAAGATACCACCATGGAGGACGACACTGATTCTGATATCTTGAAGTCACCCGATAAGAAGAAGCAGAAAGTGGGTTGAAGCTGGAATGGTGTTCGTTACTTTCTATTTTCAGAAAGAAGTCTCATTCCAAGATTCAGATATTGAAGATGAAGAACATGTTGAAGTAGATGAAACAGGTATTAACCCAACGGAAATGCTCAAGCATGTTGAGGTAGTTTTGATTGTTCTGCCCTACCGAATGTGTATTCTAGGGATTCATGGAGTATCTTAGAGCTAATAATAAAACCGAGTCTGCATACAGAACCATGCTTGCGAAGCTTACTGATGAGTACTTCTCCAGTACTGGTGAAGACAGGAGTTTTGATATTGAGTAGGCTACCAGTACCTAATATAGCATTGGTTTTATCGTTTTCAGAACATTTGTCAAGACTTACAGAAAGTACTACGCTGCTGCTTTCAAGAAAATAACAATTGACTCCAGTTTGAAGTAAGCCTTCCAGCAACTGCTCATCCGTATTCATGTATTCAGATGTGTGAAAGACTATTTAGAATCAAATGAGTGCATTGTCCATTATCCTGATTTTCCAAGAGCTCCTCCTAGTGTATTGACGCTTTACTGTAGAAAGAATAACTTGAATTTTCAATTTGGCAAGATGGCGGTATGTGTTTCATATTTATGCTTCATATTCTCTATTGGTTCAGGAGATCAGAGCTACGATCAGCAACGACGAAGCTGGAAAGTCGGAGTGCGAACATGAGCTTTCGCAATTAGAGGTTTCGATTTGTTCATTTCTTCATCACATTTTGAATTTCAGGCTAAGTACTTAAGAGATTTAGAGAACTTCAGAGAAAGAAAAGAGTCTGAATTCTCAGCCAAGCAGCTCGACTTCCTGGATAAGAAAATCAAGTCCATGAAGAAGAAGGTAAACATCCGTTCATAACTGTTTCTAATTCTAATTACCATAATAGCTTCTCGGACCTCCTGTTCGTAACACGCCTAAGACTCCTAAAGGAGCGACTCGTGCGACAACAAGGGCTAAGAAAACTGCATTCGATTTGTTCTTGGCAACCAAGAAAGACAAGTAACGTTCATTCATGCAACAACTCTTCATACCTCATTTCAGATATACTGATCTCGATGAAGAATCTCGAATTAAAAAATTGCAGAAGAAATTCGAAAAACTTGATGAGGATAAGAAAGACATTTTTGAGAAACTTGCTCTCATGTAAACTTGAGGTTACATTCGTTGATTTACTTTTACTCTGTTTTATTTTGTTCGCATTCGGTGCACCCAAATGACATTGATTACACTATGATATGTACTGATTACTGTTATTAATTGTTTCGGAAAGTTGTGGAAGTCTAATATTTTCCAATAATAAAATTGTTCACAAATCTTTGAATCAATATCTTATTAATCTACATACAAGTATTCATTAGGTAAAGCTCGAGATATCACATGTTACAACCACTTTCTACAGCTATGCCGTAGAGCCATCGTTGTTGTTGTCATTAAGCTCACGCAACAACTCTTGGAATGTTTCTTCTCTGATGTTCTGGGTATGAACATCTATCACACCATCTGGAGATTGCGTCGGTCTCGCTTGTTTTAGCTTCGGCGTTGTCGTTCGCAAAGGTGCCGCTGTGGTGGTTTTATTTCTGGAACATATAATCAGACACTATGACTGAACACATCGTTACTGATTTTTCCTTTCGTGTAAGATCTCCATGGTTTTCCAGAAACGTTTCTCTTCTTGCTCGAACGATGATGCTTCTTCTGTGACTGCATGTAGTTTGAATCTCTTTCCATGTCGTGGACTGGAGCAATCGTGCACTGATGATGACCTCTACGCTAGGTGCTCTTACCTCATATCATCATCTAGTTCAGCTAAATCCCTCAGTGTTGATTCTTGATTTTTGGATGAGGCTGAGAGAAGAGACTCAGATGGATCGATCGTATCATGTCTAGGAATGCTGTTCGTACTTCAATCAAAAACATAACTAACCTAAACGCAAAACAGCTCACATCTTCGTGTGTTACTTCGCAAAATACTTTTGCTGCTGCATAATAAGAGAAAATTCCATTTGTACATATTACATCGAAGACTCCTAAAAAATAAAGTTGGAAGTTTGTAGAAAGTAATCGAACCTCCTATTTCACGTGCAGCACGTTCTGCTATCGCAACCTTTGAAGAAACGATATTTGATGAGATACTCTGTGAAAGACATATCTTGATTGCTTCTAACGTGGGACTGTCTACCTGATGCATCAGAAGTCTCAGAGTATCGTCGTTACATTTATTAACTAGATGAACGACAGCATGACCAGTGTCTCTAGCCACTCTTGATCTACGGAAGAACTTTCTTCTTCTCTGATCTTCATCTGCAAACAGATTTGAGATTTCCTTGTTCAAAGGAGTTTCTGTTACATGTTTTAGGTGATGGATATACATCTTGCTGAGGCATAGGAGCTGGACTCTTAACATTCTAATCGTCAAGTATGGTTTTGAATGTAAATTTACCAAAACTGGTTGGGGTGGAGAATAAACAGGTGGAGCTACAGGTGGAGCTACAGGTTGAGCTGGAGGTGGAGGAGGAGGAGGTGGAGGAGGAGGAGGAGGTGCAGCTGCTGGTGGAGCACAAACTGTAGGTGGAGGCATCGGTGGGCAGACTGTTGGTGGAGGTGGCGCTGGACAGGCTTGGCATGGCTAAAAAGAAGTTGAAGTTAGATTGGATGAAATCAAAGAAAAAATATTGCACAGCGGAATGGGTTCACGGACAATGGCTTCCGAGCCGAAATGAATGATTGATGTTTCCCATGTTGCTAATTTGCTCATTAGCATATCTGACGCTGTCAAAATTGATCGATTGTTTTGATTGATTGTGATATTCTAATTTCATCAGGCCCATAGGCTCTTTCAATTTCATCGAAGTTATGAGAAAAGTAGTTACCGGAGGAGTTATGCATGTTGCTACGGGGCAGGAACACTGAAAGAAGGATAGGTCATGTGGTAACTAAGACCTAGTGGAACTTACTTGTTGGGCTTGTGGAGCTTGGGCTGGTGCGCTCTGTGGTTGATATGCTGGTGGGGGCTCAAGATAAAAAATTATTACTCTTTCTTAGTCACGAACATACCTGTGGGGGTCTATAACCTCCTCCGCCACCTGTAGATGGGAACGAGGGCTAAGAATAAGAGGCATGAAGAACTCGATTGAAAATGAATTACCTGCGCATACTGTGCCAGAATACAAGGTAGAATAAATGATGCAAGTAGAAGAGATTTCATGCTCTGAAAGAAAATGAAAAATGAAGAAGGGAGAACAGAAGGAGAGATGGATATTCAAATGGAATGAACTTTCGTTATTTATATAATGATTGTTAGTTTGTTTTCAAGGTTCTTCAAAAAGTATAATTTCTCTTGGAAAGTGAGAAAACAAGAATTGAAGAGGTTTACTTGGTCACACTCGGTTTGTCCATCCATGATGATGAACTTGTGAAGGAAGCTAAGGTAGTTCTGTCCGATATGATTTATATAATTTTGTTATTTAAAAAATAGAAAGTGAATGTTTAGAAACTGAATGGATGAGACAACAAATCAAGTTTTGTTGTTGAGATTGCAAAAATGAAAATTTTTATTTGTTTCATGGCATTTGCATGTCCAAACACTCAATGATGTTGTTTCGAGTAGTAAATGAACTAAAAAAGGTTTCATACATCTGAAAGAGGTGAGGTACTGAGGAAGAGAGAGAGAGAGATAGAGAGAGAAAGTCAACTTAAGTAAGAAAGAGAGAGAGAGAGATGTAGCTCGCATGAGGATAAGAGCTGAACCTTAAATTAGAAGGGAACAGTGAGTATTCTTGAACAGATGGGCTTATGACTATGCCCATCACCAATTAAAGCATTCAAAATCAGTAGAGCATCCTCTACTCTTTCAATTATTGATGACCATTTGTTTTTCCCTCATATTTTACGCAATTTTTTATTCAAATAACTTTTTTTTTTATTTTTTCTCTCCAAACGTTCAATGATGATCAACTTCAGAGCCTATCTGTCCGACTGATGAAGAGAGTGAGGGATAGATGTGAAAGGCAGATTTTTGTATTTTTTCCGGATCAATCAGAGCAAATGAAATCCGGTTAAGCAGGGATGATCTTTGACAATCCTTTGAATGAAGTGCATATGAGCTGAATGACCAGAAGCCAGATGAAGAGTTGTGATATGAACAACCCCATAGTCATCATAGTGACCAATTAATTATCAATATTTATGATGGATAAAGGCTGAGGCAAGCTGCTAACTATTCTTCAAACTGGTTCACAGGATTGATTTCAGTTCAATGCGGTCATCAACCAGTTAGCGTTTTGTCATCAAAACGCTGTAAACGTTAAGCTTTTAAGTATCCAAAAAGCTATTTTGAACCAAAAAGAAACCTTGTGCACAGCTTCCACTAGCTATGTGTACCTTCGATGAAAGAAAAAATTATTTTTTTTGAACTTTCTGCTCTTTTTTTTTCGTTTTCTACGCAAAAAGAGATTCCATATCAATGACGACTTGACAGATTTCAAAGAGGGAAAAGAGAGAGAGAGAGAGAAAGGATAGGAGAGAAGGAGAGTCAAAAACGAAATGTTCAAAATCGAAACCAGCTTTTGGCTTTTTCGTTGAACAGCTTGTTCATGCTCATATTTGGTTATTGTTCTTGACATTTGAATGTTTTTTTGTTTATCTATTTGTCTTTATGCTCACTGTCAAGCTCAAGAACAGAGTGCGAACAAGAGAGATGAAGAGAGAGGGAGACAGAAAGAAAGAAAGGGAAGGGATTTCTCGCTCTCATTCTTTCATCGCACTCATATGGGAGTAGACTTATGCTCCAAAGGATAAAGAGAGAGGTGAATAGAGAATAGGTATCATATGGGCTGAGATTATTCAAGAGATGCAAAGAGCGAAAAATCAAGAAGAAATTGAGTGGCCAATCCTGGCCGTCGTCCAGCCATTCTCTGTCTCTCTTCATATCTCTTATTAGCTATGTTTTTCTTCTAAATATCATTGAAGACTATGAGTGAGCAGAAACAGCGAAACAGGATTTTGAGCAACTTCTCAGCTTCTTCTGCTCCTTCTCCTTCTTCTTCACTTCTCTAGTCTCCGCTCCTTTTCTGTTAACAAATGTGAAATTGATATTCGGCTCAGTTGGACTCCTCTCCGCTGACGTTACTCACACCCGTTTGAGGCATTCATTTGCTTGTAAATGTTATGACTGAAACCGAAAAAACACGAAAATAAGCTGAGCGGGATGGAAAAGAAGCTGCTGATTAAGTTTGTTTGATCTCATTTCCAGCTTCCGTTCAGCTTGTATGTTTTTTCTATTTTTCAACAGAAAAAAACTTCGTTGCAACTTATTCTTGTCTTTACGGCATATTTCCCTTGTCCTCACTCTTCTTCTGAATTATCTGTCAATATGCTAATTAAGATAACGATTGATAAAGACTTCTATAAGTTTATCATTTCCTCTTTTGACCCACTCTCACTCTCTTAGTGAATAGGCTATGTTGTGAACGAAGAGAGGTCTTCAAGCTAACTTGGGAATAATTGAAATGATTTATGACTATCATTACAATTAGATTTTATCATATTCAGAAGAACTTCTCCTTTCATCTGTAGCTTTAAACATCTCTTTCTCTCTCTCTATCTTCATCCCTCTCTTCACACCCCCTCCTCTCTCTCCCTCTCTCTGTCCTTTCACTCGTATTCCTTTTATATGGATATTGTCCACTCTTAACCCAACGTCATACTCACTACAACTCTCCCACCACTGCCGACCAAACGAGTTTTCATTTCAATTTTTCTTTTTAAAAACCTTCAATCTTGAACTACTAGTAGTTTAATGACAAAATAAGAGGGAATTTGCTAGAAATTAATAAATACGCCGCCACGTCCCAACTCTCTGTTTCGTCAGATGTTTGAAGCCGCTCGTCAATCGGTCTTCGACCTCCACATCCTCAAGAGACAACATTCACTTTGTTGTTTCAATTATTCTCTTTTATTTTACAACTTTTCCATTTTTTTTCTCTTATATATTAGCTTAAAAGAAATCGACAAGCTTAGATGTGTTAGTCGGCTTTGGGATTCCTCCTCTTACACGAACACAGACTGATGAAGACACAGACACATAGCCTTTACATGGCCTACCCATACACACATACACACAACCCACTCCCCCATTACATACAAATCTGTTTTTGAAAGGAACATTGTGTTTTATAAAATTAAATAACTTTTATTAATTCAATTTAATATTACATCGCAATGAAGCACACTTTCCTTTTGATTAGCAACTTGATTGTTTGCAGTTGAACTCTATATGTGTACTCTCTCTCTCTTCTATCTCTTCTATAGCTACTCATGCTTCCTAATCTCTCTCTCTCTTTCTCTTTTCGCCTCTTCTCTTGTTACTTACCTGTTTAACCATAATACTTTAATAGTACTTTCACATGCATTCCTTTTCTTCTCTATTAAATATTCCAATTTCTATTTTCACGTCAATCACTCACGTAACACACGTGACGTGAGAACGCCATCTCATTTCATTCTTACTAAATTTAGACGAACGATCCGGTTGCTCCCGTCAAGCGTCTCCTCCTCCATCATCATTCTTAGTTTTAACTTTTTTTTATTCCCATTTATGAAAGTGTGTATGTGTGTGTGTGTGTGTTGCGTTAGCCGAACACAATCTCTTCTAACTGATCAAGCTTTCTCTCTCTTTCTCTCTGTGAAGCTTCCCGTTGTTTTTCCTTTTGAATCATTCGTTTAAAAAACTTTTGTTTTCATTTCTCTATCGTCACCCACCAACAACTGAGATTGTCGTGTTAAATCAAACGGTTTTCTCCTGAAACCAGCTTATTTAATTGAAACAGTTCATTTGACTGTTCAAAAGGCTTTTACATCTGCAAAAAGCCAATGACAGCAGCACCATATATGGATTGTGTTTCTTATGCTTCTCCTTCTTTGTATGGAATTAGATGTATATCTGCCCCTGTTATGTCACTAATTATCTTAAATCATTCATACAGAATGGGAAGGTCTTTCAGCTTCTACTATCTGTCATCTGAATCTGATGCCATTTTCAGTTTCACTGTTGTTTTCCATTTTATTCATAAACGTTTGCTTCTAAACCATCTACTTATCTTCTTTTTTTCATTTTTTTATTCCTCTTTCAATAGAAGCATTCACTCTTCTTCTCGTCATCTGCTTTGTCGTCGTCTTATAGCTGACTCTTCGCAACCTTCTGCCCCCCCCCCCTGTTTCCATCTCGACTTTTCTTGTTTTCATTCAGACGCCAATAAGCTCATGAACGGAACAAAAAAATGTTTTCAACCGTTTCATTCGTAGAATTTCGATAATTTTGTTGGCGAAAAGATAGAGAGAGAAAAAGATAGAGAGAGAGATAGAGAGAGAGAGAGGGAGAGAGGATCAATTCGTTTTGCAGCTTTTGCTTCCTGCTTAGTTCGAATATCTGTAAACCAGTTTGAGGAGTTTGTTACTTTTCCCCCTTTATGTATGCCATATCTAATCGGATGAAGTAAATGGTCAAACAGACAGATGATTCTCATCCATTCTCACTCTATCATTACCACCTTGTTTTCATTCTTTTTTTATTTCAAACTCTTCAAAATATTTGGCATTGTTTGACACAAATATTTAAAATGAAATGTGAAGGTGAACGAGTTGCTGTCAATGAGGACGAGGTCATGCTGCCAAAGGCGTTGTGATGCTTCTTCTCACCACAAACCCCCCCCCCGCCACTACCCATACACACATGTAGCTTCAGAAATTCTCATCGCATCCCTCTTGAATTTCTTTTTTTCTTCTTCTCAACTAGACAACTGAACCGGCTTAACATATCAAGCTGTTTTTTGTGTGAAAATGTTATGAAAGTTGTTTTCTTCAATAACTTTTTCGTGAAATGAAGTTTGAGTGAGAACAGAGGGATTCCCTCGGCTTCTGATTATTGGTGTCTTTACCTCTCTCTCTCACTCTCTTCGTATAGTATTCTTCTCTCTCTCTCTCTTGAGAGTTTTTTATATAGCAAAGATATGCAAAAGACCATCATTATCTTCATTTTCATATACACCGATTGACATTCCCAACTAGCCCCGAGGCCATTTAGGGAGTAAGCCGAAAAGAGAAAGACCTTCTACCACAGCTTTTCACCTTCTCATAACGTTCATTCCAGTTTATTGAACTTTCTTCTTCAAATTAGTCGTTTATTACCTTCTTCGTCATCTGAATGCT